AAACCACTGGTCAATTACAGAAAAGCACCCATTTAATTCAGAGTTAACTGGAATGAACACACCGTCAGGTCATCAGCATACTTAATAAAATTTGTTCCAACAGAACAAGGTAAATAGTGCAAAAGAAAGAGAACAGAAAAGGAGAAAGAACAGCACCTTGAAGCACACCAGTTTCAGTAAACAGTGCGAAGTGAACCGCTTCCCTTTACAGAGAGTATACTGTTTCCTTCCAGAAAAATGAGAATACAGCCACTCTGCAACCCATGGTTCGGTATGAGCCATGGAAAGCTTATTTAACAAGAGTGGTCTAGGAATAGACTCAAAGGATGATGAGTAATCCCAAAGGCACCTGTCTAAACTAGAAAAAATATTGTGAAGCAAGACAGTGACAGCACCTAAAGAACCTCCTGTGTTTGTAAGCAAATTGTTTTGGATCTCTGAAAACCAGCAATGGAAGCTTAAGAATAAGGAAAAGGAATTTCACTATTGTATTTAAAAAAGAGGAGGTTATAGCGATGGATCGAATAATAACGTCTGATCTAGAAGATTACTCAGGCACAGGTATAACTTGATCTCCTTCTAAGCAGCGCGTATTGTTTTTGAAAAACGATGCATTGCAGACATTCGTAAGGGGACGACAAAATATCTGCAATTTTTTTTTAATATAATAGTAGAAACACTACCAAGTTCTAAGCTTTGGGATAGATTCAATACATTTAAATACATCATGTGTATTAAAGCCTGGAAAGCAGCTGTTCACTTTGGACGTTAGGAAGGATGAAATCAGCCTGAAGACGTATTAATGACTTGTTTAACGTGTAGATATCCAAGCAAGCTTCTTTTGTGATGTTTCCTACCAGTAAGCTCTTTAAATAATTTCCATATATGGAAGAGTTCTTACAAGATGAAAACTTCTGGTTGTAAGTGGTACTCGGACGTTATATTCCAGACTTAACTAGGCAGTAAAGTCTTTTGATGCCAGAGTGATGTCTCACTTTATACAGCCTTTCCTTTTCTTCCGGAGCCTCTTGAGATGAGGCGAGGAAGGTCCGTCAAATCTTATATGTATGGTGCGTTCAGCTGGGCAGCAAATATTCAGACAGAATCTGAGATCGCTTGTGATATTGGTGATAGTGTTGTCTAAAACTCATCAGCAAATATATTCATTTGTTTTTTTAAGCATACTTCTCAAACGTAGTATATTCAATTGTGAATAGCATCCATAATGGACTTTCTTGGAAATGTATTCAAAAGCCTTCTTGTGTAACTTGCCATACACGTTAGGTAAAACACGTGCAATACAGTGGTCAGAAAGCAGCAGCAGAGCCCTTTACGGACTTCAGATATGCCAGGTTCATTTGTAAATACGAAGTCTAGGGTGTTGTCAAGACAAGTGGAAAGGTTAACCATATTTTCATGACCCAATGATAGTAGAAAACTGCAGTCACATGAGTTAAAATCTCCACAGACTATAGACAGGGAGTTATCCAGAACAGGAGCAGCAGCTTCAATGAATTCGTCAGCAAAAGTTGACAAGTCTGAGAAACTGCAATCAGATGTGATATAGACGTTTCTTGGTTACGCAGTAATGCCTGGTCCTATGTTGATAATGATGATGATGATGATGATGAGACGTTTCTTGGGCTTCTGTTTGTCCTTACTCAAATGTTTAAGATGATGTATAACAGTAATGAACTCAGTTTTTTCGTTAGAGAAGCTAAAGCGTACATAATTGGAGCAAGGCTAGTTTGTCATTGATAAATGTTGCTACAACCCTCACCACATTTCTTCGTGGAAAAGCTTCGATCTTGTCAAAATAATTTGAAACCATTTAAGCAGATTAAATCATCATCATCATCATCATCATACAGGCTATGAAGTTTTGTTTCCTGCAGCATAATTACACCCGTATTTCGATAAACATTTGCGGATAAGGGTGAATGAAAGTAATCAAGTTTCTTGGTAACGACTTGCAGTTTGAACTAAGTAGTTCAGAATAGTCATTTGATATACGGTCATAACTTTGAGAGTCCGTTGTCCTCCACCATAGTGCATCTCCTTAATTTGTCTATCAACTTGTAAAGCGATAAGTTGTAATGATTTTAAAAACGTGCGAGAGTATAATACGGTCGGTTGACATAACAGGATGATTACAACAATGTAGAAAGGAGAAATCTGATGCAGTATATGCCGTGGTAAAATGAAGTAGCCTAAATTTGAAATTTCGATTCGTTTTCAGTCTTTAGTGACTACATGCCGCCATCCACTTAGCGATGCACTGAAGAAGTGACAACGAATCTCCGTGCGGAGAATTAGAACGTAAACATCATGATTCTTGATATTCTTCAGAAAAGCTTATATATATATATATATATATATATATATATATATATATATATATATATATACCCGGTTTGGCTTACCAGAGGCGAACAAAGGAAAACGACTTCATCCATATGTGAGCACCTTGTTGTATTAGGTCATTCAGCACCTCGAGATTCATCCTTTAAAATTATTTACAAATTTAAATTCAACTACTCCAAAGGTTTACGTTTCCACCACTTATGCATAGTTGAAGCATTAGCTATAAACGAACAAAAACCGAAACTGTGCATTAAAAAACATTTCATTTCACTTCACTTTGGTAGACTTCTCTTTTATTATCATCATTATCACCAACTTTCACTTCATTGTCAACATTTGACCCATATTTCACTTTTTAATATCAATTCATTCCTTATTCATTGACCTATTTTGCATGTTTAAGCTAAATTATCACCGTTTTACAATTCTTTGACAACATGCGTCTCTTATCTCACCACTTGTTATCAATTCATTCCTTATTCAGTGACCCATTTTCTATCTCCTCGACTTGAACAAATACCACCACCTACACCTCTGTATATTTTGCATATTGACTGAGCAACTTTTTAGTGTAATTATCTGTCACTTTACAGAGTATAAAATACGACTGTACAGCTTGATAATGAAGTCGTTGAAAAGAAATATTTTTTTCGCTGATACATGGCTTTGTTCTTATTAATGAATAAATACTGTTTACTAGGAATTACATGTGTTATATGGAAGAATGCAACTGAAGAAAAGCATATCGTGGAAAAGTTTAATAGAAAGAACAAATGAGGTTAGCACATAAAAGAAAATTGAAGCATTTCCACCCTGATGGATGAGATAGTATTTAGTATCACATTTTACGCACTTTTCGAGAATATCCGATACCATTGCACGATACGATTGAACACCCATCGTTTAACTCTGTAATTTCGAATTTGATCTGCACATGAAAAGCAAAAAATAGTAGTAAACATGAGCACATGCAAACACAAATAATGATAAAAGTATAAACCTGTAATCGTATACACACTGAAGGTCAAAGGGCAAACAAACTGTGCAGTGGCTGATCACATTACCCAGAATTTTAGTGTCCGCAATATATTGATTGGCATTACAAATGGACCCAGTGACTGGTAGTGTGATATATAACCCACTACATTAACTAATACCAGGTTGCGTTAAATTTTATTGGTAGTTTGCACTGCAGACCAGCGACTCGTCAATTCCTTTGAATAATAACACAATATTAATATGGACCAACTTGAACTAACAGATCCTTATGATTTCACAAAACAAACGATATACGATCTTATAGAATCCTCAATCCAAAATATCAAAGCTGTTGTGTATCTAGAACGATTATGAGAATGAATCCTCAGCATAAAATCAATAGTACGTAACCTTTCTGAATTTTAGTTACGGAGTTGATAAGTGATGCCATAGTGAATACTTGAATTCTCCAAGACTTTTTACCTTTCATTTAGCCAATTGTTTATCGACTTTAAATAACAAAGAATCGTGAGGTATAGCAGAAACTTTACGGATAACAGACATCGCCTATCGCAGTTTAACACTGTTACTTATACTGGCCGATCATGATCGTAACAGATAATCATAAACGCATTGTCCTATTACTAATCATCAATGTTTAGTAATCGATCAATTTAAGTAATTACAAGAAAGATACTCCAGAGTAACAGCAAAATAAAAAGAACGTCAAAACAGTACCTCGGTAAGATTGAATATTGAAACATAATAAAAAGCACATCGATGAAATTAAATCTCACCGTTGAACAATATCACAGAAAAATCATTCACTGAAACTCATCATCATCAATATCAACATAGGACCAGACATTACTGCGCAACGGTCCGAGTTGCCACAGCTCATATCAGTACACCAAGTAAAAAGACAGTGAACCGCAAGAAGATAAGAAAATTCAGTCAAAAGAAATATAAAGTACGGAAAGAGAGAAAGGAAGGATGAGAAAACAGTGACATTCGGTATAGCATCGTTAAGATGAAGATAATGTGTGTATACATCTGCGCCACTGACATCGGTTCCTAGCCATATCACCTAAAGTCTCCAATCACTGGGTCCTCTTGTCGTGCGGACCCCAACCGACTAGTCCACATCACCCCACATGGCTCAAACCAACAGCCAGAGACTTCATACATTGGTGCCATGTTTTAGTCTTGCTGCCTCGAACCTTTTTCCAGCCTCGACCTACTTCAGCCAACATTATGTGACGAGGCAATCGGTGACTAGCCATACGTAGTACGTGTCCCAACCATCTCAGTTGATCAAGGTTCATAACCGTGTCAACTGACCTACATCTTCTCCGTAAAACTCTACACCTGACGTCTGTGTTACTCACGTGGTGACACCATGGAATACGGCCCATACTATGAAGGCAACGGTGGTCAAACACTTGAAGCCTTCTCACGTCTTCCACCTTCATTGGCCATATTTCTCACAGCCATACAGTAAAACAGAGCGGACTGCTACGCAGTACACGTGACCCGTAATAGACAATCGGATATTACGGCGGCGCCACAGGTGGCGTAAGTTGGTGAAAGCCAGTCAACCGAGCCTTTTGTATTCGTGCAGAGATTTCATCGGCCACTGAGCCAGCCACCAGGGTAGGACTGATCCTACTTCCCAGGTAAGTGAAGTGGTCGACACACTCAATCACTACGCTCTCTATTATTAACCGTAACACCGTTGAAGATCAATCCTGGAGCAACAATTTGCATTTGGGTGGTGAGAAACCCATCCCAAACATTTTCAAGTTGCCACTCAAAGTGTTCAGAAGACTCTGCATCTTGTCAGCGTCTTCACCTAACAGGACTGTGTCATCTGCATATTCTAGGTCTAACGAAAAGTCTCCTGCCATTAGGTCAACATCTGTGTAATCAGGTGACGAGAGGGAGACCTCCATAAGAATATCCATGATAAAATTGAATAGGAATGGGGAGAGTGGGCATCCTTGTCGGACACCACTCGATGAGCATAGCTCCCCAGACATCTCATCATAGGCTCTAACACGCCCACAAGTGTTCGAGTAGAGAGCCTTCAATAAGGTTATGTTTTTACTCGTCACGCCTTTCAGTGAGACATTGCCATAAGACTTCTCGACCAACGGAGTAACTGAAACTAAATGAATTATTTTAAAACCAGCAATTGTTACTTCAATAACTTCTGTTCTCTATGAAACAAGTATAAAATGCAGTTGTCGCATCGCAAGTCCAGCAAGTAAATTTAATAAGCCATTGAATAGAATAGAATGATGCATCTAAATTCACTAAAGAAATTATGCACCATAAAATTACCATTCTGGTGCAGACTAAAAATGAATGATTTTCAGAAACAACTTGTAATACTGAGATAATTTGAGCAATTCCATTTTAATTTGCGGGTTTGTGGGGATTTGTTGATTTCAAGTTGGTATTCATGATAGACCGACAACAGTTGGAAGAAGAGCAGAAAAGTGGTAGCACAAGACAGCTGTTTCATCCAAGTATGGGACTCCCCAGCACTGCACACCCATGACCTCGCCAGGGGTCCAACCCAGGGGGTCCAGGTTCTATGTCCAGTATGCTACTATTGAGCGACTGCGTCGGAACACAACGGTCTACTTTTCCAACTTCAGTCAGTTTACGACATAGAGCGACTATCACCTAATGTCATCGGTGAGTATTTGTCTTTACGTCCACTACATCTACCCCACCGGTCACGACTTCTCATTGGAACTTCAGGAATCACTTCTCGAAGCTAGTCACCAATCAGTACTAAATAAGTTCATTTTGGGGGTCTATGGGGATTTATGGATTTCAAGTTGGTATTCATCATGGACTGGACTGGGAGAACCACGAAATATAGACCATCGGATTCCGACCCAGTTGCCCAATAGTAACGTGCTGGACACAGAATCTAAACTTTCTGGATTCGAACACCCTGTCGAGGTCATGGGTGTGCAGTGCTGGGGAGTCCCATACTTGGACGAAACAACTGTCCAGTGCTACCAGGTTCCTGATTTTCTTCCAAATGATGTCAGTCTATATTGAACAGTAACTTTAAATTTCATTTTATTTGATTTATTAGATGTACCACACACTGAAACATCAGTATTCACTGGATAACGCTTCGGACAAAATTTATTGTCCACAGTTATATCAAGATAACTCTACAACGACGAGACATGGTTCATATTTTCTAATTCTCTCGCTTTTACATTGGCAATCTAAGTAAGTCTATCACTACAATAAGTAGTGAAATACACATTACACAGAGCTACAGTTAAACATAGATTTCAACTACACAACTTACACCTAGCATAAGTTCTGCGACATATATACAAGTCTTCGTATGCATCGTGAGTGGTCCAATCCGTATCTGCGATTTTCCTTTGGCCAATGACATTGGAAGTATCAGCTAAAATAACAATCATACAAATATCAGTAAACAAAGTGATTGTTAGTACAGACGCACCTCCACAATAACCATTAAAATTTAACCAGAACTGTTTCCCCACAAACGACCAGAGTGGAAAACAGTGCTGTATCCTTACTCAGCCACCAGCAACAACTACCTGTGTCAGGATACCGTTATGTCCAAATACTGTTTATAATCAAGCCATCATCGCACGACAACAACCTTCCTATGTTCGTGAAACAGAGAAACAGCATCAACGCAGAACTCCGGACAAGAGTGTATCGGTTCAAGTTGCCACACTACACAGAAACATACGAAGAACAAGTGGATGGAAAAAGAGTGTTATCAAAGTCGACAAAATTGTCTCCGAGAGTAAGCAATTCGAAGATACAAGTTAGCACAAATACATTCAAACTTCAGAAGTTGTCGAAGAGTAAACACAACTGCGTCACTGCAACCGATTTTCAGCCATTTCACCACGAGTCATCAACCACTGATTGCTGTCGTTTTGGAGACCCCAGCCTGACAATCTACATGTTTACACATGATCCAGACTCAGAGACTCCACTGACTGTTGCCACGTCATGGTCTGGCCGCCTTGAAGCATCTTCCATCCTAATCCGACTTCCCCCCATCACCACACATCGGGCTAGTCGGTGGCTCAACATGCTCAGTACATCATCAAGCCATCTCAGTCCATTAAGCTTCACAACTTCACCAATCGACTTGTCTTTCTTCCCTAGTAGCCTTCGCTTGACGTCAACATTGCTCACACGGAGATTCTAACAGAAGTGAGCAATGCTACCAAGACATCTGTGATCAAAACCCAGCAGTCGCTTCGTGTCTTCTACTTTCAACCACCATGCCTCACAGTCGGACAAAGCGGAATGCAATGCAGTATACTCGTCCCTTGATAGATAGTCGGATATGTCGCTTATCGGCGCCACAAATGAGGCAAGTTCGCAAATGCTAAACAAGTCTTCTGTATCCCAGCTGAGATTTCGTCACCAACCTCCGTATTCAGACTGATATAACTCCCCAAGTGATTGAAGTGGTAGTTACATTCCACCACATCAGTCCTTATCCTTAAAACAGAAGTAGTTGCAGACTAGTCCTAGAGCATCATCTTACACTTGACAGGCACCAACGAAATGCATGCCAAACATAATCAGATTTCTGCTCAACGTATCCAGAAGACCCTGCATTTCGCCAGCGTCTCCACTCAGCAAGACAATATCGTCTGCATACTCCAAATCAACCAGATGATCTCCAGGGAGTAGGTCAATCCCTGTGAAGTCACACGTACTGAAGGCTATACCCACTGGTACTGGTACATCTATAATGAGGTTAAACAAGAATGGTAACAGTGAACATCCCTGGAAAACTCTAGTTGTCATCAATTGACATGACAACTTTCCTTAAACCCTTAAACGGCTGCTTGAGTTCGAGTAGAGAGCTTTGATAGGCATCATATACTTTCTCGGTACTCCCTTCAGTTAGACACTGCCACAACACTTCACGGTCGACTTAGCTAAACACCATCTTTTGATCAAGAAATATGGCAAGTGTGGGCCATTGGCGGTATGTATGATTGCGTGCCAGGACCTGTCCCAGGGTAAAATCTGACCGACACACCTTCACCTAGGTATCAAAGTGCCTAGTCTTTTCGAGTTTGCTGTTTTGGAGCTGTTGTTTGGCGTCGAATAACTAAGGACCTGAGGATCTTGGACTCAATGTTAGTCGAACTAATTTATCTATAGTTGTCACAAGAAGACTTCTCTCCTTTCTTATAGAGTGGGATGGTCAGTGAAATGGACCAGTCTGACAGGATTACCTCTGATTCCTATACACTGACTGCCTCGTGCCTCCGTCACTTTAACCAACAATTTCTTACCTCCATCCTTTAAAACTTTGGGTGACAAACTGTCGGGTCCTACTGCTTTGCATCGTTTCAAGTTCCATACAGCCTTCACAACTCCAAAGAGAGTTGTAGGACCGATATCTACGTCCCATTCAGGTTCAGGCTGGATGTTGGGCCACTAAAGCTTTGCTGAGGCCCAGTTAGTCTGTGCTTCAGAGTCATGCGCCCAATGCAATCAATATCCGTCTGTTTTAGTAGGTTATCAGCGTCTTATCCTTTTTGGTGATGATTTCTCTAACCAACGTTTTCTTCTTGCCAGTCTCCTAAGTAGACACAAACAGTTGACGTGTTTTACTCAATAGTGATGCCTTCTCCATCGCTCTCGGCGTCGCCAACCACCACTGCTCGCGATCGTTACGACGACTCTTGGTCAACGTACGTTTAAGTTACTTTCACTCCTCATTGTGGTCAGAGTCAACTGGAATCAGTCTTCCGGCATCAGTCAGTTCGGATGACCTAGCAGGAATCCAGTGACTTATGCTAACCTTCAGGTGTAGGTTACCAACTATCTTTACTCCTGTGTTTTTCTACAGCAGACTCAGTATCACGCCATGTCATGTTTCTACAGTATGAGCACTGCTATCACGTGCAGATAAATGCGCAGCTAACTCCTCCCTAAATACATACGTGGCATCCTCATCTTCCAATTGAGAACAGACAGGCTTTCCTGTCGCCTGTTTCCCGTGACTAGAAAGACGCAGACATACATGAACCCGTACTAGCTTGTGATATGAGTACAAACTGATATTCACGGGGGAGCGGCAATCCTCCACCAACTTTCTCTAACGACGGCTCATTCTATCTATCTGTGTCCATCGTCGGTTGCATGTCATCTGATGTCATGTGAGACAGCGTATCCCCTTAGACCTTTTCGATCGGTTCACCTTCCCTACTTCAGAGTTAATGTCACCTGCTATTATGACTGTGGATCTTAGAAATCACACAACACAAACAAACTAACTCAATGAGGATATAATAACATGCTAGTGCACTTAATTCTTAATAAACCAGATAATATCTCAGTGATGCGGGACTCAATGAGTATCGACCAGGTAAGTTGTAATTCCGCTAAAAATTCACCAACAACCTAATTGTCAAAATGAGCACAAATGATAAAGTACTTCAAAATATCTTTCTGACTATTTGAAATAGCTGTGGTTTGGTAGACCAGCATTCATACTGGGTGATGAGTGAAGGTGTAAGGAAAGTTTGGACCGCGGCTAGATACGAACCAGCGACCACCGGGTTTCCGGCCCGATGCTCTACCAACTGAGCTACAAAGTCCGTTTAGACCAAACGATGCAAACAGACCTCGTAGCTCAGTTGGTGGGGCATCGGGACGGAATCCCGGTAGTCGCTGGTTAGAACCTAGCCGCGGTTCAAATTTTCATTACACCTTCACTCCACCTAGTATCAATACTTCAAAATACATCAGTTGCAATGATGGCCCGACATTTTCATAGTTTTCCTTTTTTCAAGAATACAAAAGACACTGGAATAATTCCAACAAAACAGAATCTGATTCTCATATGTACTTATCTTCAAATCATCCGTATCACTTGTTTTTAAGGTTTAACCTACAGCAAATGCAATCGCACTTATATAGAAATCGCTACTTCGATGTAGCACACAAGGACACAGTAATGTTTATTGAGTTTTATATGACCTATAAGCAATAAACTGTGTTTTAAATGTTATACAGTTAATATGGCAGCGCTGTATGGTATGCAAAATAGACAAATCTAGTATGGGATTAAATTCTACCAGTGTTCAAGTTCTATGCTTACATATAATCATTTTCGCCAACTTCCCAGTAATCAAGATTTCTAATGTATTTTGAATTCACCTCAACATATTTGGCATGAATCTACATGAATCTAAAAGCCTTAAAAGTGTAAGTGAAAAAATAAAATCTGAAAATGGGTGAAGAAGAGCATTGACTACGAATAATACAATAAAGGTACTTACAGAAGGTAAATGATAAACTAACCTGGTCTTGCATATGATCATCACAGCATGCCCCAATCTTCGCATAGTTATAAATCGACTGACAAGCTTCAGAAACTAATTGTCTGTGATGAGGACCTCGAGGACTGCTAATTCCGGAAACTGCCAAAAGGCAATCCGTTGAAGTCTGCATGACGAACCTACATTAAATAATGAACACATGTAGATCATACACATATTAACAATCAAAAGCACGAATCACTAAGGACTAATAATACATAACTAACAGAAGGATCAACTTAATACAGTAAACATTCTGTTATATTCGAATCGAAATTGCCATTGTTCGTAAACTTTCATTTAAAACTGTTACCCTCGCTGATTACCTTCTGGGATTATTTTCAAAAATCACAAACTGGAACATGAATTTTGGAAAGTGAACAATAGGTCAACAAAGAGAAATGTGAACTCTAACCGAACATCAGTTGTGGTCCTACCATATCAGAAAAGTCTGTTAGATAGCGGTTAGACAAAAAGCAGTTACCCTTACCCTTAACATGTCCTTAAACAAAAAAAGATGCAGTATGAGGACTTAGATCAGTCATCAGTGGTGGTTCAAAACCACAGGATATATGTCCGACTATCTTTTCCATAATACAGGCTAATTGTCTCGGCATCAGAAAGGCCGTACGTGGCCGACCTCAAGCTCCCTGGGCTCTGCGGTCACATGGAGTGGGCAGTTGCCTTCACAACCTTGTCAGCGCTCAAGTTCGCTCAGACCACTATCCACCTCTCTGATTCTAGTTGCTCAATCCTAAGTATTTATGAAGGAGAAGTCTCCACTGATGGTTTTTTCCATAAGCATATATCAATTCACTGGCTACCGTGGAACAGCTACGTTTTCCAGCATCTGATTGACAGTGGGCACAGTTTTAGAAGATTCACTTAGTGTGGTATATATAATCTTTCAAATGGTGTAGGAAAACGTCTATCTTACATTACTGAAGCGTTAGTAATACACGAATGGGAACTGGATTTGTGTAGCCGGAAAAAACTTTTCCCATTCCGTCTACTTGTTCACATTGTAACATGTCAGTTTTTGAAAGGGTGGAGACTAATCTTATTTCAGGTGGATTATCTGGGTTGTGCTGTGTTGCCTGAGCTGGGTGGTTGAATCGTAAAGCTTTCATTGTCTTTCTAGACAACACTATCAGCACTAACTTCAATATGGAGTTACAGCGAAGTTGGTTGTTATTGGAAACAACCAAGCACAAACCAGTTCGTCAGGGTAAGCTACTGAACCATCCAGGGGGAGGTATTGACAGCTCATGAAGTTAGTGTTGATGAAGTTGCCAAGGAACACAAAGAAAGCTTCACGGCTAAACGACCCAGCTCGAGGAACACAACGCAATCAAGATATCAGTTTTTAAACCTAGTTGATTTTTATTTTGCTTTCATTTCACTACCATGTTACTTTTCAACTCAGTTCCTAATTTTTCATTCCCGTTCATATTGAAAACTTGTTTACTGAATCTATTAGGCACTCTTGATCACAACTTACACCTATTTTAACAAAGTTATTTGCGCTAATTTTTGAATGTTTTATCATTTCTCATATAACCTTCCTATCCATTTGATTTTCCTAACCCTAACCTGCCAAGAATTATTTCCAAACTCCGGTGACACTGCTTGCCCTTAAGCTTAAGCAATAGCTATACAGCATTTGAGAAGGCGGATAGCAAGAGAAAATTATTCCGTGAAATCTATTCCCCCTTCGTTATTCAACAGAAATATAACTGATGTAAGGCAACCCACTATATATATATATATATATATATATATATATATATATATATATATGCTCATGTATTAGGCTATGAGCCAGTCATATGTTTGATGACAATGATGCTACTGAGTTTTCGAGCTCAGGACTCACCTGTAAAACTCAGGTAAGAAAAACCAATGAACTACACTTATTATTATTATTATTATTATTATTATTATTATTATTATTATTATTATTATGTCCCTTGGTTTCCTAGAGGAATATAGGCCATCAGTAGCACGTCTCCAATGCCCTCTGTTCTCTGAAATCCTTTGAACCTGGCTCCACGACAGCCCAGAATCTCTCATTTCTTCCTCACACAATCCCCCCCATGTCACCCTCACCATGGACAACCAACTCGCCGTTTCCCATCTAGGTTCCACTCGAGGCTCTGGCCTGACGCGTGATGTCCCCACTCTGCCTTCTCAGTGTATGCCCAATCCAATCCATCTCCACTTCCTTCCAGTGCATATTTGTTGGGTGATAGGTTCTTGGTTGGTTCGTTACCAGCCAGAGTTCCTTGTTGCTTATTCTTTCTGGCAATCCATCTGATCTTCAGTATCGAGCCAGCGTAAGCAGTTGTTGATGAATGTCTGTAGTTTATTGGAAATCCCTTTCGTAACGCGCCAAGTCTCTGAACCATACAGAAGCACTGACTTGACGTTGGTGTTGAAAATCCGGATCTTGTTCCACATGCTGAGTGCAGGAGATCTCCACACTGGTTTCAGGCAAATAAACAAGTCTTGCTTTTCCGATTCTGACGTTGACATCCTCGTCTGTGCCGCCTGCGGTTGAAACGATGCTACCTAGATAGGTGAAACAGGCTTCTTCCTTTAAGTTTCTCCCGATCATGGTGATTGGAGCTTGTTGTTGTGGTTGGTGGCGTTGGTTGGGTATCTTCATCACATCCGTCTTCTCTACGCTCACTTGAAGTCTCATCTTCGCTGTCTCGCCTCGCCTCTTTTGTCAACTTGTTGGTTTTCGCCCGTAGATCGTCGAGTTTGTGCAACATTAGACACAAGTCATCGGCGAAATCCAAATCTTCTAGGATCTTTTCCCCGGTCCAGCATATCCCCCCCTACTCACGCCTCACGGTTTGTTGCATGATCCAGTCCACTACAATCAGTAAGATCATAGGTGATATTAGGCGGCAGTCTTATCTTACTCCTGTCTTCACTTCAAAGACATCACTGAGCTGTCCACTGTGAATTACTTGGCATGAGGTGTCTTCATGTAGTTGTTGAATGAGATTGATGAAAGTTTGTAGTATTCCGGAGTGTTGAAGCAACTGCCAAATTACTTTTCAGTCGACGCTGTCGAAGGATGAACTAAACTTCCGTAGTGGCAAAGTCTAAATTTCTGAACGATAGTTCATGCGTCAGAGATTAATAACCTGAATGAGTGGTCTAGTGATGACAACCTACGACCTAAGCGCCTACAGTTCTACCATATATCTGACAGTCAGTCAACCATATCCCTACGTTTAGCTTTTCCTAGGAGGCTAGGCAGTTTTCTACAGGGCTCATCGTGCCTGCAGTCAGTGGGTGCATAAGCAGATATTACATAGAGACAGCAGCGAGTTTCACTGTTCATCTTAATCTTCATCGAACCATTCAGTCGAAAAGAACACAGACAACTGTCAACTGCAATTCGTTTGAGCAGCGTGCTTTTTGTCTTAGCACCTAAAGCTCTACCTACACATGTAAGACCGAGAGAACAGAACCAACTAGTCAGCAACTTCAGCAACTCGAAAGGTGAATTCTATAGACCCACCACACTGACCGGTTGAGGTAAAGTGAATAACCACACTTGTACGCGTATTCCACAAAAATAGCACATATCCATCCCCAGGATGGCAGAGGTTTCACCTGAGAAACATGTTGGCTTAATTGACGGACGGTAAAAAGACTAAAAGCTTTAATACGTAATTTCGAACGCGGTTCTAGAACAAGGATGTTGTTTCGTGAACTCAAATCGTTAGCAAGAGTTGCAGGTCCGGAAGAAATTAAAGACAGTGTGCGAATATTGAAGGAGACGTGGCGAAAGGTCAGAAGGCAAAGATGCTAATGCTTGAAAATCATATGAAAGAACATGAATGTTGAGAGTTGTGATGGTGATTGACACTTCCCGGTTGCCTACATCAAGGAAGGCTACTTCCAACGGAGGTACCTGAGGAACTAATTGGATAAATAATAGTGGTGCATGACCACTAAGCCTAAAAGACATCCGCTTGTAGCCTGTCATATACGATCCTTCTGGAGGCCTTAATTTATTTTGGATACAGCTATAAAGCCACACCACTGGCACCTGAAGATCTCGGGGTAGTGGAAAGTGTGCCGTTTTTGAGGCCAACCTTTCTAATCCCGGTTCCCATAGAGAAGGTAGCATCAGCATACCACTGCTACTCATTCACGGAATACGCTTCAGTACAACCACATCCCATTGAGCTAGCAGTAGAACTTATCCAGCGAACCACTACCATAGCATGATAACGGTAACTGCCACTATGCAACAGAACTTTTGGGTATGATAGGACCTCAAGGGGATAAGTGCTTCACCAGCACGGCTCGTTCAATCATGACGATACACAAGCCTGAGCACTATATCATATCATTTTTCCATTGATAATATTATTCTTTTACAGACACCTTAATTCCCGTGGTTAATTACCAGCTACATAGTACCTAGAAACTAATAATTTTTTTTAATGACTAATTTACCACCAACAGTTGGATTTAGGAAAGCCTGTCTATACATGTGACTTCACAAGCAGTATTCAACTTTACAGAGATATTACTATACACAAATCATGTTTTTTACGCTTTCAAATGGTGAACGTCCTCAGCATGCTTCAGAATGTAGGTGTACGGTTCAGAAACTTCTCTGAATAAATTTTGAAACCGTTTAATTCGTTCTCTGAATAAGATAAAGAGCTACTGATTTTATGTTGAGACCGAAATATGAAAAACTTAAATAAAAGCAAAATGCTTTTGAGGACTGAATTTAACATCAAAAGAAGTAATAGTAACAAGAACACAAGCCCAACAAACTGAATAGAATACTTCATTTAGCAACGTACATAAATGTGGCAACATTACCCTGGCAGCGATTATCACTTTCTCGAAATGAGTCAATATTTATAGGACATGAAGGGAATAACTCCCGGAGACAACGTGATGCCTCATCTTTCATTTCATGGGCAACCTGATTTATAGCGATAGAAAACAAGGGTTATCCTATGAAACAGTAAAATAATTCCAAATTTTGGAAATATGATTCGACAAAATGATTCCAAAAAATATGCTAATTTACCTAGATGGGCCAAATATTTATCAAAAGGTATTCTTGTCTGTAAAATTACATGACCAACCAAGTTATCGAAAAACAGATCCTTGTTGTAAAGCATAAATCTTTTCGTCTTCACATTCCACTCCGCCTCGAAACCTTGGTTTACATATAACAAAAAACCTCAATCCAGCGGAAATACTGCGCCTCTGAATCGAAGTATATTTTCAGTTATGAGTATACAGACTACCTACCACCAAATGCTAATATATATATATACCAAGGTAACTACAGTTACACTTAGAAAGAAGCGTGTAAGCATACCCAACTTGTAAGTTATGTACAATTGTCAGAGAGGAAATTATTTGAAACACAACACAATAACACACTGAACAATTGAAATAAAGACACTCAAGTAATTTGAAGATATGGGACTTAGTACATTTGAGTTAGCATAGCTAACCACCTAAACAGAAGCACAATCTATTGACTACCACATGGGATTTCGAAAATCGATATCTACTGAACTTCCCGGGTATAGCTTCCTTACTTTTACGATTTCACGAAGCGCAACATTAACCAGTTTAAAAACAACGACCATTCGAATTCGGAACATTGTTTAATCAAGTATTTACACAACGCAATGTCCTAACCACTAGAGCACAGCGACCGACACCCGACCGATAGCTGCTACCTTGACGTGGTGGTCGGGCTTGCATATCACAATGACCCAACGAGCTATGCTGGTGGAACGCTTGTTCCCTCGAGGTCCTACCATACCAGAAAGGTCTGTTGGGTAGTGGTTAGACGAAAAGCAGTTACCGTTATAGTGTAAATTGCTACACTATGATGGGGGTCTGAGGGCGAAGTCGTACTGCTGCTAGCTGGATGGGGTGTGACAGCAGTAAGGTGTTTCCCTTGGATGACCAGCAGTGCCATGCTGATGCTGCCTTCTCAGTGGAAGGGGGGGTTAGAAAAGGTCGGCCCCAAAAATAACACACTCCACCACGCCCCACGGTCTGCCGGGCCGGCGGTGTTGGTTCACTTGTCGTTTCCTTTCGACCATCCGGCCCCAAAAATACAAAAGTTCAAAATAATCATACTCAAAAGGCTGGGTGTGACAGGCCTCAAGCAGATGTCCGATGGGCTCTGCGGTCACACAAATCTCTTTCAGGTACCTTAAGAAGAAATAGCCTTCCACGGTGTGGGCAGCCGGGAAGTGTCAACCGCCCTCACAACTCTGTCAGCACCCAAGTTTCTTCTGACTGCTATCCTCCTCCTCCATCATTACCTTCTAATCTTCCTTCACGTCTCTTAATTAATGATGCTGCATCATCTTCAATTTCTCCTACCTCTGCAGCCTTCGACAACGATCTGAGTCCACAGAACAGCGTCCCTGGTCTCCTTAAACCACGCTCCAAATTACATATTGGAGCCTTCAATGTCCGCACCCTCCGTCAAATTGGCCAACAGGCTTCGTTGGCAAAGACTCTAGCAACTCGAGGCATGGATGTGTGCTGTGTTTGTGAGACACGCATACAGGACCCAAGTGTGGTTATTCACCTGACCTCTCCTGACCAATCTGGTGAATCTGCAAAATTCACCCTTCGAGTTTCTGGAGATTCGATAGCTAGCTCTCGTGGTCTTGCAGGTGTAGGTATAGCATTAAGCACCAGGGCAGAAAACTCACTACTAGACTGGATCCCAGTTGATAGTCGCCTCTGCGCTATGAGGCTGAACGGCACAGTGAGAACTAAAAGGAATAGTGAGACTCGCCGTTGTCTCTTTGTAATCTCTGCTTACGCACCCACTGACTGTAGTTCGGATGAAGTGAAGGACGAGTTCTACCATAAACTGTCTAACCTCCTCTCGAAAGCCAAACGTTCGGACGTAGTGGTTGTTGCAGGTGACCTCAACGCACAGGTGGGTAGACTGAGTGAGGCAGAAAGGCACTTAGGTGGCACTTTCGGAATCCCAGCTGAACGTACAGATAACGGTGATCGCCTATTACAACTATGCTCAGATAACCGCCTATTTTTAGCCAGCACAAATTTCAGACATAAAGAAAGGCACTGTCTGACCTGGCGTCCACCGAGCTCGACTCAGCGATGGACACAGATAGACCACATTGCTATTAGTCATCGCTGGAGAGGATCGGTGGAAGACTGCCGCTCCTTCTGGAGTACGTGTTTGGACAGCGATCATGCGTTGGTCCGAGCACGTATATGCCTGCGTCTCAATGGACGTAGAAAAAATTTGGCAACAAAACCACTACGAGTTCTGCTGGACAACGAAAACACCAAAGCCGTGTTCAGTGAGAAGTTGGCTAGGCAGTTATCGGAACAAAAGACTGTCACTCATCCAGAAGAAGCTTGGTGCCATCTTCAGTCTACTGTAAAAGCAGCACTGGAGACTGTAGCCGACTCCAAGATAATGGCTAAAAAGAGCCAGTGGATATCAGCAGCTTCTTCCAAACTAATGGATGCACGTGAATGCATCCCTGCAGGCTCTGAGTACAATGAAGAGCGAGCGCAACTTAAAAATAAACTGACGAAAAGTCTGCGCAACGATCGTGAACAGTGGTGGGCAGCAAAGGCTAAAGAGATGGAAAAGGCAGCGGCGATCGGTAACAGTAGACAGTTATTTAGACTTATTAAGGAGACTGGGGGGAAATGGTCAACAACAGTTAGTGAGGTTATAGCGGAGAAGGACGGATCGGCGATTCACTCGCAGGGAAGGCGACTGGGACGATGGGCAGAACACTTTGAGGAACAGTTTAACTGGCCTCCAGCCACCATTGCGCTGCCCGCTATCCAGTCGGACCCTGAATGGGACATAGAGACAGGTCCCCCAACACTAGAAGAAGTTGAGAAAGCGGTAGGTAGCCTGAAACGGGGAAGGGCAGCAGGACCAGACGGACTACCTGCTGAGGTATACAAGAATGGTGGTAGAGTTCTCTTAGTCAGGCTAACGGAAGTGTTAGCCAGTATATGGGAATCAAATACGATCCCCTCCGACTGGTCTAAGTCACTCATCATCCCAGTCTTCAAGAAAGGCGAGAAGTCCTCTTGTGATAACCACAGAGGAATCAGCCTGACAAACATAGTGTCTAAGATCCTAAGTTCTATAATTCTCCGACGCCTGAGTGGAGCTCGGGAACAGCAAGCCCGAGAAAACCAGGCAGGCTTTAGACCTGGCCGTGGATGTATCGACCAAATATTCACACTGCGCCAGGTCCTGGAACATAGGCATGCTTACAGACGCCCGACAATAGCTGTATTTCTCGACCTGAAGGCGGCATTTGACTCCGTTGATCGAGAAGTCTTATGGCAGTGTCTGTCACTGAAAGGCGTGCCTAGTAAGTACATCACCTTATTGAAAGCTCTCTACTCGAACACTTGTGGGCATGTTAGAGCCTATGGTGAGTTGTCCAGGGAGCTATACTCATCAAGTGGTGTCCGTCAAGGATGCCCACTATCCCCATTCTTATTTAATTTTATCATAGATATTCTTATGGAGGTTTCCCTCTCGTCACCTAATTACAAAGACGTTGACCGGATCACAGGTGAATTTTCCTTAGATCTAGAATATGCAGATGACATAGTCCTGTTAGGTGAAGACGCTGACAAGATGCAGAGTCTTCTGAACACTTTGAGTGGGAATTTGAGAATGTTTGGGATGCGATTTTCACCACCCAAATGCAAATTTTTGCTCCAGGACTGGTCTTCAGCGGTACCGCGGTTAACAATAGAGAGTGAAGTGGTTGAGTGTGTTGACCACTTCACTTACCTGGGAAGTAGGATCAACCCGGTGGGTTAGTTGCCGATGAGATTTCTGCACGGATACAAAAGGCTCGATTGGCTTTTGCCAATTTGCGCCACCTATGGCGCCGCCGTGATATTCGTTTGTCTATTAAGGGTCGCGTGTACTGCACAGCAGTCCGCTCTGTTCTACTGTATGGCTGTGAAACATGGCCATTGAAAGTGGAAGACATGAGAAGGTTACAGGTATTTGACCACCGTTGCCTTCGTAGTATAGGACGTATTCCGTGGTGTCACCATGTGAGTAATGCAGAAGTTAGGTGTAGAGTTTTAGGGAGAAGAGGTAAGTCAGTCGACGAGGTTGTGAACCTTCATCGACTGAGATGGTTGGGACACGTACTACGTATGCCTAGTCACCGATTGCCTCGTCACACAATGTTGGCTGAGGTGGGTTCAGGCTGGAAAAAGGCCCGAGGTGGCCAGACTAAAACATGGCACCAATGTATGAAGTCTCTGACTGTTGGTTTAAGCCATGTAGGACGATGCAGACTAGGTGGTTGGGGTCCACGGGACAAGAGGAACCAGTGGTTGGAGACCCTAGGTGATATGGCTCAGAACCGAAGTCAGTGGCGCAGATGTATACACACATTATCCTCATCTTAACAACGCTATACCGAATCTCACTATTTTGTCACTCCTCTTTCCTTTCTTCTCGTACTTTATATTTCTTTTGACTGCATTCACTTATCTTCATCCTTCACCTCACTACCTTTTACTTGATGTGCTGATATGAGGTGTGGCAACTCGGACCGTTACGCAGTAATGCCTGGTCCTATGTTGATAATGATGATGATGATGAAGTATTTACACATGATGGTTCCTCCCATATCCCAGCTCTCTTGATGAATTATAACCATCATCAATATCAACATAGGACCAGACATTACTGCGCAACGGTCCGAGTTGCCACAGCTCATATCAGTACACCAAGTAAAAAGACAGTGAACCGCAAGAAGATAAGAAAATTCAGTCAAAAGAAATATAAAGTACGGAAAGAGAGAAAGGAAGGATGAGAAAACAGTGACATTCGGTATAGCATCGTTAAGATGAAGATAATGTGTGTATACATCTGCGCCACTGACATCGGTTCCTAGCCAT